CCGGTCCTCTTTGCTGACGATCAAAATGCTGCTGTCTTTTCTTTATCACCTTTAAAGGCATACCACCCTGTGTAACATCACCTTGAGTCACATAACCTGTGTTGCATTACCTTGAATGACATCACACTGTCTTGCCACATTATATGTGTCACATGATAATGTGGCAAGTAACATCACCTTGTCACATCACCTTGAGTAACATCACCTTGTCACATCATCTTTAATTTCATCACCCCGAGTCCCATCATCCTGTGTCACATCACCTTGATCACATCACACTGCATCACATCTTGAGTCATATCACCCTATGTCACATCCTGAGCACATTGCACTAAGTCATATCACCCTGTCTCCTATTACTCTGTATCACCACACCCTGCCCCTGCTTCATGTTATTGCAATAGTATTCACTTACTTGCGTGCCACTATGCATCGAGAACTCATGCAACACCAAACTGTTTCTAAATTCTAATTTTTAGAACTAAATCCTAGCCAGTTCATTGAATGACCTAGCTTCTGAAGAATTATAATCAAAACTAAGTGCTAAACCCACAAGGGTCAGCTTCTGAAGAAAGTTTACTGAAAGGCCTAAAGTTTATTATACAGTGGTCCCCCGGTTCGCGAAGTCATCGGTAACCGATAAATCCGGTATCCGAAGCGTTATATCGCAAAAAATTTGCCTCGGTTCCTGTTACAAAACCCGGTACGCGATACGATTCGTACGAGACGTGTCCACATGTGGCCTGAACTGCCCCATGTGTACCAGTGTTTACAAGCCAGCCAGTGTGCGCGCATCTAAGGATACATTCGGTACATTCCATATTATCCATATTATCACTGTTTCTGGTGCTTGTTTCTGCAAAATAAGTCACCATGGGCCCCAAGAAAGCTTCTGGTGCCAACCTTTCAAGACCAAGGGTGCTAATGACTATTGAAATGAAGAAAGAGATAATTGCAAAGTATGAAAGTGGAGTGCATGTGTCGGACCTGGCCAAGTTGTATAGTAAATCCCAATCAACCATCTCTACTATAGTGAGCAGGAAAACGGCAATCAAGGAAGCTGTTCTTGCGAAAGGTGCAACTGTGATTACAAAACAGCAATCACAAGTGTTAGAAAATGTTGAGAGACTGTTACTGGTGTGGATAAATGAAAAACAGATAGCTGGAGATAGCATCTCTCAAGCGATCATTTGTGAAAAGGCTAGGCAGTTGCATGAGGATTTAATTAGAAAAATGCCTGCAACTAGTGGTGATGTGAGTGAATTTAAGGCCAGCAAAGGTTGGTTTGAAAGATTTAAGAATTGTAGTGGCATACATAGTGTGATTAGGCATGGTGAGGCTGCCAGTTCAGACCACAAAGCGGCTGAAAAATATGTGCATGAATTCAAGGAGTACATAGAGGCTGAAGGATTGAAACCTGAACAAGTGTTTAATTGTGACGAAACAGGCCTGTTTTGGAAGAAATTGCCAAGCAGGACTTACATTACTCAGGAGAAAAAGGCACTCCCAGGACATAAGCCTATGAAAGACAGGCTTACTCTGTTGATGTGTGCCAATGCTAGTGGTGATTGCAAAGTGAAGCCTTTATTGGTGTATCACTCAGAAATTCCCAGAGCGTTCAGGCAAAAGAATATCCTCAAGGCTAATTTGTGTGTGCTGTGGAGGGCAAACACTAAGGCATGGGTCACTAGGGACTTTTTCTATGACTGGTTACACCATGCATTTGCCCCCACTGTGAAAAATTACCTAATTGAAAAGAAATTAGACCTTAAGTGCCTCCTGATGTTAGACAATGCCCCTGGTCATCCTACAGTCTTGTCAGAGCGACTTTGTGGGGACATGAGCTTCATTAAGGTGAAGTTTTTGCCTCGTAATACCACTCCTCTCCTGCAGCCCATGGACCAGCAGGTCATTTCCAACTTCAAGAAACTGTACACAAAAGCTATGTTTGAAAGGTGCTTTGAAGTGACCACAGATACTCTATTGGCTCTAAAGGAGTTTTGGAAGGATCACTTCAATATATTCAATTGTGTAAACCTTATAGGTAAGGCTTGGGAGGGAGTGACTAAGAGGACCTTGAACTCTGCTTGGAAGAAACTGTGGCCAGAATGTGTAGACAAAAGGTATTTTGAAGGGTTTGAGGCTAACCCTGGGAATCCTATGCCAGTTGAGGAATCCATTGTGGCATTGGTAAAATCCTTGGGGTTGGAGGTTAGTGGGGAGGATGTGGAAGAGTTGGTGGAGGAGGACAATGAAGAACCACTGATGAGCTGCTAGATCATCTTCAACAGCAAGAGGCCAGACCTGAGGAAACTGCTTCGGAGGAGGGGATAGAGAAATTGACGAAGTTGCCTACTTCAAAGATTAAGGAAATGTGTGCAAAGTGGCTTGAAGTGCAAGCCTTTCTTGATGAAAATCACCCTGACACAGCTACTGCAAGCTGTGTTGGCAACCTGTACAGTGACAATGTTGTGAACCACTTAAGGAAAGCCATAAAGGAACGAGAGGTACAGGTCTCTATGGACAGATATGTTGTGCGACAGAAGTCCAGTGACTCTCAAGCTGGTCCTAGTGGCATTAAAAGAAGAAGGGAAGTAACCCCAGAAAAGGACTTGCTACCTCAAGTCCTAATGGGGGGGATTCCCCTTCTAAACATTAAAAACTTTGACACTCTCCCCTCTTCCCATCCCATCAATCATCACCAGATCTTCATTAAAGGTAGTGTCAATTATTCTATTGCATTTATTCTATTGTTATTATTGTTATTGTAATTATTCTATTGCATGAAACTTAATATTTCATGTGGTAAAAGTTTTTTTTTCATACTTTTGGGTGTCTTGCATGGATTAATTCGATTTCCATTATTTCTTATGGGGAAAATTGATTCGCTTTCTGATAATTTTGCTTTACGATGAGCTCTCAGGAACAGATTAATAACGTGAACTGGGGGGTCCACTGTATTCAGATGGAAGCACTAACATTTGTCTTATTATATTTAAGTGGAAATTCTGAACCTAGTCAAATACTGCTGGGGAAATGAGAGGTAATCAGGTTTGATCCAGGGAGGGGTAGGGTGGCTGAAATTTCTAAGATCAAGGGTTCTTCACCAGCATTAATGCACTCCCTTACAGAGAAAATAAGAACAAGATGTCATATTGTTTTACCAAAGACATTAGTAATTGTCTCTGAGACAAATGCTTCTGCCACAGGTGCTGAATAACCCCGGGAGTGTGGAGGTGACATGGGAGCAGGCCAGCAGGGGCACCATACCGCAGGGTGCTCTACAGGGAGGCTACTCTGAGACAGGGGAGGCCCTCTACTTCGGTCGCTTCAACCATGGTGGTTCTCTCATATGTGGCAAGGTAGGTTAGTAATTCTGGGTAACCCTTTCAGGCCAATTGGTATCGCTTATTTCCATTGGGGTTGTTTTAGGTCTTCTCCCCACAACAGTCAACTAGCTCATATGTATCTATTTACTGCATGGTGGGGCTCAGTCCCATGTCCTCTCAGGTGTAAGCCAACTGCTTACCTCCCTCCCTCCCTCCCTCTCTCACTCACTCACTCACTCACACTCTCTCTCTCTCTCTCTCTCTCTCTCTCTCTCTCTCTCTCTCTCTCTCTCTCTCTCTCTCTCCTCTCTCTCTCTCCTCTTCTCTCTCTCCATCTCTCTCTCTCATCTCTCTCCTCTCTCTCTCTCTCCTCTCTCTCTCTCCCCATCTCTTCTCTCTCTCTCTCCCCATCTCTCTCTCCTCTCTCTCCATCTCTCTCTCTCTCTCTCTCCCCATCTCTCTCCTTCTCCCCCATCTCTCTCTCTCTCCCCATCTCTCTCTCTCTCCCCCCCCCCCATCTCTCTCTCTCTCCTCTCTCCCCATCTCTCTCTCTCTCTCTCTCTCCCATCTCTCCCCTCTCTCCCCATCTCTCTCTCTCTCTCTCTCTCTCCCCATCTCTCTCTCTCTCTCTCTCTCCCCATCTCTCTCTCTCTTCTCTCCCCATCCCCTCTCTCTCTCCTCACATCTCTCTCTCTCTCTCTCCCCATCTCTCTCTCTCTCTCTCTCCCATCTCTCTCTCTCTCTCCCCTCTCTCCCCTCTCTCTCTCTCTCTCTCCCCATCTCTCTCTCTCTCTCTCTCTCCCTCTCTCTCTCTCTTCCCCATCTCTCTCTCTCTCTCCCCATCTCTCTCTCTCTCTCTCTCTCCCCATCTCTCTCTCTCTCTCTCTCTCCCCATCCTCTCTCTCCCTCTCTCTCTCTCTCCCCATCTCTCTCTCTCTCTCTCTCCCCATCTCTCTCTCTCTCTCTCCCCATCTCATCTCTCTCTCTCCCATCTCTCTCTCTCTATTCTCCCCATCTCTCTCTCTCTCTCTCTCTCCCATCTCTCTTCTCTTCTCTCTCCATCTCATCTACTCATCTCTCTCTCCCCATCTTACTTCTCTCTCTCTCCCCATCTCTCACTTCTCTCTCTCTCCCCATCTCTCACTATCTCTCTCTCTCCCCATCTCTCACTATCTCTCTCCCCCCTCTCTCTCTCCCTCTTTTTGTATTTTTTACACAGGGTTTGACAAGGTTAGGTTAAGGATCCCTAGCTTTATTGACAAGCTATTTACTGGTTAAGGATTCCTAACTTTATTGACAAGCTAAGAGGTGTTACCTACTTCAACTCATTTGAAAGCATTTTTATTGTTATGAAACATACAAGTAGGGAACAGGATGAAGTTGGAGCCATCTGTGGGCCAGCATTTTCATCTGATCAACTGACTTTATCTCATTGACATCATAATGCTGTATGAATGTGTTCCATACTCTAGTCATCCTGGGGATAAATGATCTCAGATGAAGTGATGTTCTGGAGAAGGGTACAGCCAGAGTGAAGTCGCTGCTTTCTGCCCGTCTTGTGGTATAGAAGCTTGCTTCAAGCTGTCCTTGAAGTGGATCCAAGTCTGGTACTTTGACAGTAATGGCCTTGTTCATTACTGTACAAGCGAGCGGCCCATGTCCTTTCGCATGCTATTTCATTACTTTTTAACAAGTCACTAGAGACTAGCACCTTCCCGAAACTACTCAAGATGGCAAGGGTTACACCAATACATAAAGGTGGTGACCCTACAGACTTAAACAACTATAGGCCAATATCTAACTTACCATTGCTATCCAAAATCTTTGAGAAACTCGTGCACAGGAGACTGTATTCATTTATAACGGCTCAAAACATACTCAACCCCTGCCAATTTGGATTCAGGAAAAATAAAAGCACTAATGATGCAATCATAATATTGCTAGATCTGCTTTACACAGCATTGGAAAATAAGGAATATCAACTAGGAATTTTTATTGACCTAAGAAAAGCTTTTGACACAGTAGACCACGACATCCTACTCCACAAACTTGATCATTACGGTATAAGAGGCCATGCGCTTGCTTATTTCAAATCTTACATTACTAATAGGTATCAGTATGTCACCATTAAAGACACAGCATCAGCAACATGGCCACTTGATACTGGAGTTCCGCAGGGAAGTGTCCTTGGTCCCCTGCTCTTCCTCATATACATCAATGACCTTCCAAACGTATCCCAACACCTGAAACCCATTCTCTTTGCTGACGACACGACTTATGTCATCTCTCACCCTAATCTTGCCACCCTCAACACCATTGTGAATGAGGAGCTGATCAAAATATCGACTTGGATGACAGCCAATAAACTTACGCTTAACACTGACAAAACCTACTATATTATGTTTGGTAGCAGAGCAGGAGATGCACAAATTAACATTAAGATTGACAACACTCTAATTACCAGAAATAATGGGGGCAAATTCCTAGGCTTATACCTTGACAACAACCTGAATTTCAGCACCCATATCCAGCATATAACCAAAAAAGTATCCAAAACAGTTGGGATCCTCTCCAAGTGAAGTTGCTGCTTTCTGCCCATCTTGTGGTATAGAAGTCGCTGTCCTCGAAGTCGATCCAAGTGTGGTACTTTGACAATATTGGCCTTGTACATAACAGTAAAGCCGCCCACATCCCTCCTGTGTTAAAGGCTCTGCTGAAATGACAGATCTATCCAGGATTGGCCCAGGCGAGAGATGAGACGTCTTGATCTGTTCTCTACTCTGTCAAGCAGTCACAGATGAGAAGGGGGTCAGGCGAACCAAGAAAGTGGAGCATACTCAAGGTGTGAGCGTACTTGTGCCTTGTACAAAATCTTGCAACCCCTACTGTCAAGCAGATGCGAGATACGGTGAAGTACTATAAGCTTCCTCGCTGCCTTGTTTGCAAGATTTACAGTGTGGTTTTTCATGGTCAGTTTGGAGTCAAATTTCACCCCAAGGATATCAACTTCTTCCCCAGGTGCCAACACCCTCCCATTCATCCCTTCTCTCTCCCTCTCTCTCCCCATCTCTCTCTCCCCTCTCTCTATCCCACCTCTCCCCCTTCCTCTCTCTCCATCTCCCTCTCTCTCCCCCTCCCCTCTCTCCTCCTCCTCCCCATTCTCTCTCTCTCTTGCACTCTCTGTACTCACATAATTGTGGTTGCAGGAGTCAAGTCATAGCTCCTGGCCCTGCCGCTTAACTGGTTGCTACTAGGTCCACTCTCTCCCTGCTCCATGGGCTTTATCATACCTCTTCTTAAAGCTGTATATGGATCCTGCCTTCACTATATCACTCTCCAGACTGTTCAGCTTCCTGGCAACTATATGACTGAAGAAATATTTTCTAACATCCCTGTGACTTACCTGAGTCTTCAACTCCCATTTGTGATGATCCCTTGTTCCTGTGTCCCATTTCTGGAACATTCTGTCTCTGTTCACCTTGTCAGTTCCTCTCAGTATTTTATATTATCATGTCATCCCCATCCTTCCTGTCCTCCAGTGTCATCAGGTCAATTTCCTTTAACCTCTCCTCATACGACATACGCCTTAGCTCCGGGACTAGTCTTGTTGCAAACCTTTGCACTTTCTTTAAATTTCTTGATGTACATGACCAGGTGTAGGTTCCAAACTGGTACTGCATACTCCAGTATGGGTCTGATGTACATGGTGTACAGTCTTGAACGATTCCTTACTGAGGTGTTGATATACAGTGGAACCTCAAAAATCAAACGTATCACATATCAAACGTTTCAAAAATAGGACCATTTTTTTGGACAAACTGTGTCCCTATTATCGAACATGCCCCTATTTTCGGACCGCCGGGTACAGGACCTGTCTGCCGCCCGCTCTGTCCGCGTCCCCGCGCAGGCGCTGTGAGCAGTCTAGCTTTGTTTATGCTTGAGTGAACGCTAACCTGCGCTCTCATTCATGCATTTTACGATTATTTTGTTATGTTTAGTGCTTGTGGAACTGTGAAATAAGCTGCCATGGGCCCAAAGAAACTTGCTAGTGGTACCCCTGTGGTAAAGAAAGTGAGAAACACCATAGATGTGAAGAAGGAAATAATACAGAAGTATGAGAGTGGTGTGAGACTTGTTGAGCTTGCCAGGATGTATGGGAAAAACAAGTTGACCATTGGTTCTATCCTGTGAAAGAAAGAACAAATCAAGGAAGCTGATGTTGCGAAAGGTGTTAATATAGGGAGTGGATGAGGTACCTTCTTCAAAGATTAAGGAGATTTGTGTCAAGTGGAATGATGTCCAAATGTTTGTGCAGAAGTACCACCCTGAGCAAGCTGAAACAAGCCATCTTTGCAACAAGTTCAGTGACAGAACCATGTCCCATTTTAGGGAAATGTTAAAGAGGTGCCAGAAACAGAGGACTGTGGACAGTTATTTTGTGAGACAGGGGCCCAGTGACTCTCAAGCTGGTCCTAGTGGCATTAAAAGACAGAGAAAGGAAGTAACCCCAGAGAGGGCTTTACCTGAAGTCCTCATGGAGGGGGATTCTCCTTCCAAACACTAACCCCAACTCCCTCTCTCCTCCTCCCTATCTTCCAGATGCCATCACCAATCTTCAATAAAGGTAAGTAAAAATGTTATTTTATATGTATTACTATACATAATTAAAAATTATAGTATTTGTTGTATGTAAAACTGTAATTAATCTCTATAAAATGTATTTTTTGTGTGAATATTTTTGGGTTTCTGGAACGGATTAATTGCATTTCCATTATTTCTTATGATAAATATTGCTTCGAATTTCAGACTTGTCGAATTTAGAACTAGCCCCTGGAACAGATTAAGTTCAATTTTTGAGGTTCCACTGTACTATTCTTAGATTTATCAGGTGCCCGTATGCTGCAGCAGTTAAAATTCAAATTCATTTATTTCTTTGCAAGTAGTACATTGAGATTATATTTTTACAATAATGAGTTGCAGTGCAAAGAGAGCCTCTATTATGCTTAGACATTATGGGCTGACTTAATTTAATG